GAGGATGAACTGACTAGGGAAAGTAGCAGGATTACAGTGCAGCACTAAGGGCTCGTTAAGGCTTGAGATCTTGAACCTCCTTAATATCATCTCTTTAACACCCATTCCCCTTTCTTCCATAATCTTACTGCTATTGTTAGTTTTGGCTTTCATTTTCTTTCACATAGATCATTGCTTTTCTGTTCTTAGTTTCACATTCCTTTGTTCCATCTGCTATGCTTCCATCAGAATTACTTTTCAAAAATAAAAATCTGATTACCTTATTCCTTTATGTAAAAATCTTCATTAAAAAAAAAAAGTTCCTCAAATTTCTACCTATCTCAGTTCGTCATCTGAACCATAGAACACAGAAAATTATTTGAATGATTATTTTCTCTATTTGGTATATAACTTGTACCATTCTAGACACATAGGAAAAGTTAATGTTAAATCATTACAGACAATGGATGCCTTAGGGCATTAAAAAAAAAACACACACAAACCTCTTGCCATCATGGATTCCAACTCAGCGACCCTGGAAACCCTGGTGGCGTAGTGGTTAAGAGCTACGGCTGCTAACCAAAGGGTCTGCAGTTTGAATTCACCAGGCGCTCCCTGGAAACCATATGTGGCAGTTCTACTGTTCTATAGGGTTGCTATGAGACTTAGGGCATTAGGCGTTACTTTTCACAAGGAACCCTGGCTGAGAACGTCTACAAGATCAAATCTAAACTCCTCAAAATAAAATAAAAGATGATTCACATTCTGGCCCCTGTAAACCTCTCATACCATATCTCCTGAGTCACATCCTTTCCTCCCCTCTTCCCATATCAAATTACATAGAATTTTCTTAATGCAGCACCCTATTTCAAACTTCTCTGCCTTTGCTCAAGCGGAATTCTCTGTATAGAATGTCCTTTGGGTCCACCTGGCAATATCTATTAATCTTCATCAAAGTGAAAGCATGATCTTAACTATGAAACATTTCCTAATGTTCCATATGTAGAATTGATGTCTTCCTTCTTTGTTCCTACATGATAACTACATTCTGCTGTCCGATGGGCAGTCATATGGAAGACAGAGTAAACGTTATCTCAGCTGCTCCAGGGGGCAGAACAGGAACCAGAATGTTGTAATCATACGCTAGTTTAAGACAAGTTCATTAGTTAAAAATTACTGGTTTAGCATAATCATCTGTACATTCAGGTAATTATAAAAGGCAGACTGTAAAAGGAGAAAAAAATTACCCACAGACTGGTTTTCAGAAGCAAAGGCTTGGCATACTTGCAAATATTTTACTTTACCTCAAAAGGCACAAATGAATGTTGCAATATCTACTTCAAGATTACCTATGCTTCATTTATTTGGGGAAAAAGTTTACGTATAACTCAGGAGGATGTATTACATTATCAATCAGAAGACTCTCTAGAGAAACAATCTGTCCTTTTCAGGTAACAAAAAAATCCCTCCAAAATGGTCTCAAAAGATGACCAAATTAGACTAAATGATGGATCATAAAAACCAAATCAACTATAATAATACACATACTTAGCTGAGGTCATGTGAGTTAAATATTAATTTACTATTAGAAAATACTAATATATTTGGGTTCTAACTTGATATAAGAAACCCTGGTGGTGCAATGGTTAAGCACTCAGCTGCTAACCCAGAGATCAGCGGTTCAAAGCCCACCAGCAGCTCAATGGGAGAAGCGACCTGGCAATCTGTTCCTGTAAAGACTATAGCTTAGGAAACCCTATGGGGCAGTTCTATTCTGTCCTATAGGGTTGCTATGACTCTGAATTGACTTGACAGCACACAACAACTTGATATAATCTATCTACTATATAGACTAGTTCACATTTCATTTTGAATTGAGGAGCTACTAACTAGGTAATACCTTTAGTTTGAAGGCAGAACATTAAAAAAAAAAAAAGCTAAAAAAGGTGCCCTTGAGTCAATTCTGATTCATGGCAACCCTATGTGTGTCTGAGTAGAACTGTGCTCCACAGGATTTTCAATGGCTGATTTTTTGGAAGATCACAAGGCCTTTCTTCCATCATAATAAGTAAGTGAGCTTTAATTTACTATCAGCTCATTACTTTGTAACACAAATAAAACTAATTTAAATGATTGCATAATTTTCCATCAATATTAACCTAACTCCACGTGAACTCTCAAAGTACTAAAGATGTTATACATGGTTTTTGGGGGGGGGGGACTTTAACTGATTAAAATAAAGACATTAACAAACTGGAGACTGGAGAAGCTGAGGCAGCTAGAATTTGTCTGAAGAGCTGGGAAATGCATAGAGGGAGAGTGCTAGAGATCTACAGATCTTAGCCTGAATACTATGAATGCCTAAGGTGAAATTCCATGAAAAGGAGGAAACTACCATTGAAAAGCAGTAGGCTGAACAATTCCCAGAGCTCAGACAGAGCTGAGTAATAGTTTACATTTTCACTGGCCAGAGCAGAAAGACCTTGTGATGCACTAGGCAACAGATAGAGTCCTCAGGAGAGTATTGCTAAATAGTCCAAGACTAAAGGATGTTCTAGACCCACCCTAACAAAGATTAAAAGGATCAAACTCATCCCAAGTAACTTAACTGCATAAATTGAGTTCAATTCAATATTCAATATTCTTTAAAGGAATAAAACAAAATACAGTAATCAACAAAGTAAAATTCACAATGTCTGGCACTTAATAAAAAAATTACCAGGCATGCAAAGAAGTAGAAAATTATAACCCATGGCAAAGAGAAAAACAATAGAAGCAGATCTAGAAATAACAAAGATGATGGAACTACCAGATAAACTATTATAAATATGTTCCAGATACTCAACAATATAGAGGAAAACATGAACATGATAAAGACAAAGTAAAAGATATTAAAAAAAAGACCCAAGTACACCTTCTAGAGATGAAAACTTAAGAAGCTGAGATAAAAAAATATGCTATATGAGATTACACCTACTTCTCACTTAATGGCATGGTTAGGTTCCAAAGATCAGGTTGTTATCTGAAAATTGGCATTACATGAAAACGGAGAGTTTTTTCTCTTCTGTTTTCAGACCACGCATTTGTTCGATTTTTTTTTCATTTAGAAAATATGATCATAGAAATAATAACAGCTAAGATTTACTGACATGCTCATTACTATGACGAGTCCAGTTATGGATTAATTCCTCTGTGGAGAAGGAGGCTTTGAGACAAAGCTGGAAAAAGCTGGGCTATGTGACCAAAGGGCCCATGGCTTAACCGCTTCGCCTTTCTCCTGTGCTGGGTCAGAGCTTCCCTCGTGGAGCCACTTCCAGGCTCCACTCCCATCCCTGCAAGCCCTGCATTCATGATCCCAGAGCCTGCTCTGCCCTCTGGGACTAGAGAGTCACCAAGGCTCAGGGCACCTTACAAGGGACTCGGAGTCTGGCCGCGCACCTGGCCCCATCAAGGCAGAAGATCCAGGCCTCGTTCAGCTCACTTTGGGATGTCAATATACTTGCACACATTTCTTCCAAACACCCTCTTTGATACCTCTTCTTTCGTCCTTTCCCATACGACAGCAATTCTGAGCTGCAGGGCCTTAGGCCACACAGGAGCTGGGAGCCTAGAACAGGTGCCTACTGGCTCAGTGCTGCCTGCGCATCCACCCAGCGGCCATGGCCACAGAGGATGTCGGCCCCATGTGACAGCTGGACACAGTGCCCCTGCTGGCAGGAGAGAGCAGAGGATGCAGGGCAGTGGAGCCCAGCTTTCTGGAAGCTGTCTGCAGATCCTCCTCAAGGGAGGGGACGCTCTGCAGTCATTGCTGCCATGCCCATCACCTCATTAATGTGCAAAATACTTGAGCAATAGATTTTTTACTACTGTCGTAAATGCAAAATGTTGGATAACAAGACAGTCAATAAGCGAGGAGTAGGTGTAATGAAAAATTAGACCCTTTAGTAGAAAAGATCAGCAAACTTGAAGGCACAGCAATAGAAACTATGCAAAATGAAGTACAGAGAAAAAACAATGACAGTTAACTATGGAACAATATCAAGTGGTTTAACATACATGTAAACTGAAATCTAAGAATGAGAGAAGAAACAGAAAAAATATTAGATGAAGTAATAGCCCAAAATGTTCCAAAGCTGATGGAAACCATAAACCCACATACCCAGGGAGCTCAAAGAATCCAAGCAGGATAAACACACAAACACATATAAAGCACACAAGGCACACCATTATCACGTTGGTAAAAACCAGTGATAAAGAAAAAATCTTAAAAGCCAGTAGAGAGAGAGAGAGAGGAAACATTACATATAAAGGACCAAAGATAACAATGACAGTAGACTTCCTGTCAGGAATAATACAAACCAGTATTTGCTTTCTGGTGTAAGATCAGATAACCTCATGTTATCATTTTCAGTGTATTTTTTAAAGTATGACTTGTTGGGTGCTGTCGAGTCAATTTCTACTCATAGCAAACCCATGTGACAGAGAAGAACTGCCCCATAGGGTTTCCTATACTGTAATCTCTGCAAAAGCAGGTCACCAGGTCTTTTCTCCTGTGAAGCCACTGGGTGGGTTCAAACCACCAACCTCTTGATTAACAGCCGAGTGTGTAACTGTTGCACCACCAAGGCTCCTTTCATGTTACCATTTTTAAAGATGTGCTTTGTTTCATAATTTAATTCTTAAAAATAGCTAAACTTTGGAGGTTTTTTTTTAATTAACTAATAGATTACAATATAATTTTTATTTATAACTTATTTTCTTTTTCATACAGAGGCTTTTTCCTCTATTCATTTTTTAATACTTATATGTTTTCTGAATAGGTAATATATTTGCATGGTTCACTAAACAGTTTACAGTGAAAAGCCTCCCTCCTATCCCTGACCCATTCATTCATTTCCTCCATGCCAACATATAACCACAATAATTAGTTTATCCTTCCAGAGATTTTCTTTAATTCATACACAAGATACTATCATTAATATTCTTCTTTCCCCCTTTCAATTTTCTACACAAGTTATTACCTTCTTCTTTACTAGTGATTCTCTCTCTCGATCTCGTTTCTTCCATTCCTCTGCAAGAGCTTGCATATGAGCCAGTTCTTTCTGCTTTAGCTACAAAAGGAAAATTAAGTTACAGTAAAAACTCAAATTATTTCAAATAAATTAATCAGTTGTTTTCAGTTAAATAACTAATACTGATCACTGATGTGTTCCTTTAGGCAATTCTATCTTATTCTTTTAGAAAGAAATGGAGGAAGCCTTAGGCAAGTAATATCCATAAGAGTATAATCTGGGAGAGTATTAAGCTAAAAGTGAGCTCTGTTTTCTAACTCTTGTTTGGAAACTGATGATGCCAGGTTTCAGAGCAGTCTGTTATTAATTAAGGACCTGAGATTAAAAGAAACTTTCAAGTCCTTAACCTCTGAATTCTAACCTTCATTCTTATTCTTAATTCTGCCAAAGAATCACGGAGAAAGTTTAGGGGAATCCTTCTGAGTGGGTTCTGTCAAGTTTCGCATTTCAAGTGTATTTTTAATTCTCGTAATTTTTAAGAGTAAGGCATTCCTGACCAAGGAACTAGACAGGGTAACCATGGAACAAAGAGAGAAAAGCCTACTACAGAGAAGAAAAAACATACTGAGCAGCCAAAAATAGACTTTTTAAATAACATTTAAAAAGTAACCTGATTTTCAAAAATGTCTTCTTGCATTTCTTTCCACATTTCTAGTTCAAGTGCTGCTTTGTATTCTAAGGTTTCACGAGGCTCTGTCTGGATTTCTGAAGTACAAAGTGCTGGAGGAAGAGAAGATGGCTTCTGTGGTAGAGCAGATAAACCCTATGATATGAATAATTAAGCATATTTAAACAGACACGCTCACACACGTGCACACACACCCATTAGATTCCTTTTAACAAATAACTTGGTAATACTCAATTATATTTACCTGAGATGACTCAGAGACAAAAATCTCACGCATTTTTACTAGTCCATAATCTTCTAGAGTCACTGTGTAAGAAAGATCTACTATTCTGTTATTTGACCTATAAATGAAATCAGAAATATCTTAAAATTCATGGAAATATTTTTATATTATTTTTCCTTTTATTTCCTCAATGCCATAGCATCTAGTAGGCAACACTTCTTGTACCTGAAATTCTTGCTGTTAAAACTGTAGCAGTATGTACAGGTTTCAAGAACTCCATATAGATGATTTTATCATCACAAACACCTATGAGGTACATACCAACATTTCCTAGAAAATGACTTATAACAGCTATAGATTATTTGGAAAAACTGAAAAGCATAAAGGAGAAATTTAAAATTTTACTCCCACAGGTAATCATTGCTAATATTTAGTTTATTTTCTTCCTCTCTGTTTTATGTATATGTAAATACACGTGTACACTTACATGTTAAGGTAACACAATTTTGCCCTTTTTCCTACATATATCAGCAGCATTTTCTCATGTCATAAACATTAATTTTAAAATGTGATTTTTAATGCCTGTAAAATATACTGATGAATTTATGTAGTAAAAGATGTTTAACAATTCCCTCATTCTTGAATATATGTTATTCTAATTTTTTTTCCCGTTTGCTGGAATGAACACATTTGTGCATAAATCTTTTACTAGACATGGACATTGCCTCAAGATAATTCCCAAGAGAGCTATATGTTATTTTTATCATAATAAGTAACTCTCTGCACCATAGAACTACATACAGCATTTATCATTAAATAAGCAAACACATTACAGGAAAATAAAATCTTGACAACAAAAAAACATGGTTTTGTCTAGATCAAATACGTTACATAAACCTCAGTCAAAGAAAACACGAACAGACCCCCCACAATTGAACTCTTAGTTAACCAACTTTTGAGTTTTCTTCTAATTTCACAGATACTAGAAGAAACGAATAAAGTAAAATGGAACGCTACCACATCTGAAAGAAATTCCTGGGCATATCTGTAGTGCTCACTTAGATAAACCACCTAAAACTTTCTGTCTACAGTTCAGGGCAATAAAAGTTAATATGCAGAACAAATAGCATTAAAAAATCTTCCAATTATTAATAATTTGATTATTTTCATATTATGTTTATGAAGACAGAAAAGAACACTAATTTTTAAGAGACATTTTCAATAACAAGAGTTAGAACAAAAGAATTTCCAGTTATCCAGAATATTTGATTCTCTAAAAAATCAGTTTCCAGTTCTGAAGTGGCTATGGATAGGGAAGAATAAGGGAGGAAATATCAATAATACTGACTTATAGATCTCAGATTTTTACAAAAGCCTTATTTCCTTCTACATTCTTATTATCTCTTAAAAATAAAAGCATGTGATATATAATGTTAAATTAAATTTAAGATTTTACCGTTAATTTTTGAAAGATAATCTAGCAAAGATACTGTTTATTTTAAAAACTGCTTCTGACTGCCAAATATTTGTAACAATTTTAAGCTTTAGATCTGAGGTAGAAGTTTAAGTATTTTTCAAGTAAAAAACAGTCACAGCCCAATGCAAAATAACATAAAAATACATTATAAATTTAACTCTGACTTATTAACTATTAAATAAGAAAACAGATGCTGAATTTAAAACTATCAAGCTAGTAAGAGGGAAAAAGAAAAAATCAACAGTCTGAGTAAATATTACAGCATTATAGTGCATGGACTCTCTACTTTGTGAGGGTAAAACGGGTATCAGAAAACTAGAAAGCAAACTTGGATATAGCCCCCATGGGTCATAGAAGAAGATTAGAAAAAAGATGAAAGGATTGTGGTTTTGGTTAGCTAATCAGAATCATTAGATTAATAAAAAGCAAAGCAAACACCAATTGTGCAAAATGCATTACCCTTGTGCTGCTATAACAGGCACACTGTCACTGTAAGTTTGACGCCAACACTGTTCACCATTAGCACCTAAAAAGCGAGTTTTTTCTGAAGATAAGATGTTAGAAAGCTGGATTCTTGCAATTCCCAGAAGTAAATCTTTACTCATTTTATCCTTGTGCCATAATTCAACCAGCAGTGGAATCCTAAGGAAGAAGAGAAATGTGTTCATACCTATCATCTCTGAACTAAATTCTTTCCTGAACTAGTATCTTTGAATTCTGTTAATGTAGTCAAAGATGGTTTTGTTAGCCGGAACGTCATCTAACACACAATTGTTAAAGACTCAACTGCACAGGTAACAAATATGAAATACTATTATATTTTCTAGACCACCTTCTGTTCAATAAAGAAAACCCTTCAAAAATTATTATTCCCACAAATGGTTAAATCATTTTTTCTTTTAAAATAATTAACAAAACTGAATTGTGATACTGATAAAGAATAAAGACATTCCCTAGATTTCATTTTTATTCACAAACCCATTTCAGATAGCCGGGTTAACATTTCCAGTTTACAGATGAAAAAACAGAAAACGCAAATAATATACTACAATGATTCAGTGAAACAGCAACAATATTTAGTTCTTAGTTATTTATCTTCATATATTATGAAAAGAAAAGTCTACCTTATTAATCATAGACTCTGTTTTTACAATGTTCAAATATCCAAACTCAGGCAAATGATAACATATGAAAATCTGAACAGAGCCTTCATAACCACACAAAACTCTGTAGTGAAAGCACAAAACGTCAGTTTATTAGTCAATTTGTTTCTTGAATCTCAAATGTATAAACTGCTTTGGATTTAAACCTATAAGAACTCCTCTTTTTAATATACATAAATTTTTAAGAGCTGTTACTTAAGAAAATAATTAATTTCATAAGCACAGTGTATATTTTACCTTAAGAAGGTATCTTGCAGCTGATGAGGCATAGTTGCAAAATCAAATGCACAGTAAGATTGGGGTAGAAACACTTCCATGTTTTTCCGAACTTCTACAGGAGGATTAGTCATAATGGGAGCTGCACTTCCAAAGAATGGATATGAGTACCTAGAATATAAGAAAAACAAAGTCTTACTACAGTTTCCAGATGAAATTTGTAGTCTGATTTAAAAAAAAGGAAAATGTGAACATTCAGATCAAATACCAAAACCAAAAAAACCAAAGCCATTGCCATGGAGTTGATTCCAACTCATAGCAACCCTATAGGACAAAGTAGAACTGCCCCATAGGGTTTCCAAGGCTGTAATCTTTAGGGAAGCAGACTGCCATATCTTTCTTCCACGGAGCTGCTGCTGGGCTCAAACAGACGACTTTTCAGTAAACAGCTGAGTGCTTAACCACTGCACCACAAAGGCTCCTCTCAGATCAAATAGAAATTTTAAAATAGAAAAATGGTAGAAATTTTAATCATTTAAAAAAAATGACGGTTTTATCATCATCACCAACTTTCAAACTGTACAAATATTTTCAGTGTTGATACAGAAACTTTTCTGAATGTCCTAAATTCCTTATACTGAGTGTTTATGGAAAGCCTGGTGACATACTAGTTAAGTGCTATGGCTACTAACCAAAGGGTTGGCAGTTCAAACCCACCAGGCACTCCTTGGAAACTCCATGGGGCAGTTCTACTCTGTCCTATAGAGTCGCAATGAGTCGGAATCGACTTGATGGCAATGGGTTTGTTTTTTTTTTGGTGTTTATACCTAACACTAAGTATATTAAACAAGAAATACAGTGAGATTTGCTTTAATTGTGTAAGTAAAAATTATGGAAATAAAAAAGAAAATGCTTTTATTTACAAAACACTACTTCCCAAAGTTGCTTAACAGCTAATCTTTCAGTGTCCCTCTGGGGAAAAACGAGAATTCTGGTATTTCGAAGGCAATGACACTGAATCAGAAAGAGATAATCACTTTAATACAGTCCAAATAAGACAGAGATTTAAGAGTAAAACTGACTCCACTAATCAAAAACCAAGCCACCATTTGTTTGAGTTTCTTGAGGGCACACATCTATCTTTTTCATCTTTGCACTCCAGGAACAAGGAGAGTTTCTGGCATATAGTAAACACTCAAGAAATGCTTGCTGAATTTAATTTATAAACCTAGTTTCCTTTTTACAACAGCGTCTTCATCTTTTATGGGCTAAAAAGCCCTCAGTCAACTCCAAAATGAGGCAAACATGATCATCTGTCTTTGAAGAGAAAATTGAGGATGAAAGCCACTCAAATGTATTATGGTGAATTAAAGAGTGACATAAGGCTACCGCTTCCTTTCATCATAAAAATCACACTAGATTAAATGAAAGAACAACTGACTGATGCTGAACTTTTTTTTGTATTTAAAGTAAAATATAAAGACCTCACAATATTCACTTAAATTTCATCCTGTATCTTGAAAATTAGAATTTAAACTCTACCAGTAAAAACTGCATTGCCTACAAGAACCACCATTTGCATCCACCCTATTCCTATATAATTATACATCCACTGAAACCAAATCATCTCAGAGTAGTAGTTCATACCCCGGAATTTCAACCCCCTACCACTGCAGTACTGGATCTAGTGATTAAAAAAAAAAGCTAACAGTTTAAACAAGGCTACCACAAATTAAAACTTTTTCAAATATCAGCATTGTCTCATGAATTCCATTCTATAGTGGGAAACTACAATTTCATACCAATGCATAGCATGATTACATAAAAATTTTCAAACCAAGAGAAAGTTAAATCATCAGTATTTCTAAAAATGTCTTAAAATAAATCAAAGAACTAGTAATTTTTATCATCAAGTGAATTATACATAGTTAAGTGGATCCTAACTATTTATTTCCTCATTTTAAAATAGTCTTTCCCCTTATCCTAGCCAGGTAAACTACTAGCCTCTCTTACATATTGAATTTATTTCTGAATCTGTCATCTTCACAAGGCTGAGCTCTTTGCTTATGTGGCCCATGTACCTCTAATATGAGGCACACTGCTGGCATAATGTAGGTGCTTAATGATTAAACAAATGGTCTTAATGGCAATGAGGAAATGCAAAAACTATTATTAGTGTTTTCTAAGTGGGCTTACACTAGGCTTCCACCTCACAGCACCTAATTTTAGATTTTCTTCCCTATGTTTCTATTATTCTTTTCTAGGTACTCTAAAATCAGATTCTCCAGTAGCACAACAAGGGAGGTCACAGTTAAGGGAGTAGAGAAAAAAACCTAAAATGGAGAATAAGTAACAATAATTCTATTTCTAACAGCAATTCTAAGAGACGTTACATAAACCCTGAGAAAAACTACACCTGTGAGGGAAAAAAATTTTTTTTTTTGGTCTTCAATTTTCATATAAAAGCAACATTTAAGTAATGATTCTCAATCTCAAACATCACGTAATATGCAGAACTTAAGCTGAGATGGAAAGACATCCATTCTATGAATTCAGGATCATGCTCAGTGATTGGTCCCTTTGATTCTGTCCATTGCTAGCACTTAAACCTGGAGAATTTCAGGTACACAAGATAAGGTATCAAAGAATTGAAAAATTAGATTCAAGTATGAATTAATTTATGCATCTGAAAGGCAGGTATGTCTCAAATAATAGCAGGAACAAGGTATAGTTGCTGAGACTCCTGGGAATAGCAATCCAAGATGGCAGAATATTTTTCTCACTTGAATCACAGAAAGACCAACAAATTTATTTCAAATTGTAACGCTTGTTCCAAAGAAATTTATGCAAAGGAATCTAGATAGCTCAAAAACACATTATTGTGTTAGACACGGTATAAATGTCTATGAAAATGTAATATTATTAAAAACAAACTACTGTGTAATCCATTTAACAGACTGATTGTATACAATTATATTTATGTCTCATATAGTTATTAAGTATGCTACTTAAATTCATAGCTATAAAATAGAGGTATTAAGAACATAACCTCCAATTATAATAGTTTCATAAAAAACATTACTTTAACCTATAGCATCTTTTCCAGAAACAACACCCTTTAAGTTTAAGAGCCACTGTATTTTAAATAGCAGTAATGATAAATTAAGGAGCCCTAGTATCACAATGGTTAAGCACTCAGCTGCTAACTGAAAAGTCGGTGATAGGAACTCACCAACGGCTCCAAGGAAGAAGACCTGGTAATCTGCTCCCGTAAAGATTACAACCTAGGAAACTCTATGAGGCAGTTCTACTCTGTCATACTGGGTTGGTATGAGTTGGAATTGATTTGCCAGCACACGAAAACAATTGACAAATTATTGTAAATACCTACAATTATGCCAGACTAGGCAAGACTAATAGCTCTTGCATCAGCAATGCCAGACTGGTTTAAGTTCAAGGTCATTATGACAAAGCCTTACACCCCTTTAGTTCACAAATTTAACAAATGTTATACAGGCAGTCCCTGGGTTACAAACATCTGAATTACATACAGCCTGTAGTTATGAACCAAACCCCATAAAGCCTATTTATTAAAAATTTGAGAGGCGGGGCCAAGATGGTAGAGTAGTCAGATACTTCCTGTGGTCCCTCTTATAACAAAGACCTGAAAAAAACAAGAGAATCATTTGTATACAACAATCTAAGAGCCCTGAACATCAAAGGCAAAGTTGAGGAATCACACTGAGTGGCGGGGGGAGGGAGAGATGGTTCGCAAGTAGCAAGGAGTTGCCAGACCTAACCCGGCGGGAGCCAGTGCCCTTCAGGCCAGATTGGCTCGCGTGCATGGTGAGGCAAGCAGTGGTGCTTGGGACACATTTTCAACATCAGGAGAGGCCCAGTGGCAGAGTCTACTCAGGAATCCAGAACCAGTGAAAAGCAGCACTCAATCGGCTAAAGATAAGTACTTGCATCTGGCCTACTGCGTCGATCGAAAAACACCCCATTTGGGAAAAACCTCTCTCCCAAATACCTCCCCCTTCCCCGCTCTGCACCAGGTCCCAGGCCGGCTTCAGCAACTGCCCAGTACCCTGGGCCAGAAGTAGGAGCCATCACATGCCCTGAGCCATTCTCCTGGCCTTGGATAGGAAAAAAATTAACAAATAGGGGAAAAATAATCTGCCAGCTCCCCTAAGCCAGGAACTTGGGGTAGGCACAGCTCCTTTGCCTAGGCATAGGCATAAGGAGTCCATGGACTCTGAATGCCTTTCACCCCTGCACAGGCTGTGTGGGCCCATTTCAACAGCATAGGCCCTCATTACCACAGTACAACAGGATATACACCTGAAGTCTAACTTCAACTGTTATAGCTGTGAAGTAGCAGGTTGATATATGACACTGTTCTGCCCATTAAGCAGGTTCCTCACCTGCCCACATCAGGGGCCTGAGGAGGAGTGGCTCAACCCATACCACTTAGCCACCCACGACAGGGGTCTAGGAATAAGTGGTGCCCCCTAGTCCTTACAGCCAATAGCATCGGGTGCTCATAGTTTGGCTGCAAAACCCACCCACCTTTGTGCTCTAGGGAACAGGGACACGCTTTCGTCCCAGACACTAAGGGGCAGCTGTCAGTCCCGCCTTCTCAGTACGTCACCCCTACTGTAGCTAGATACCTGTGCCTACACCAATCACCCATGCCTGTCTAGGACTGTAGGTGAGAGCCTGTACCACACACTTGGTGACTGACTACCTGGACACCTGAGCTGAATCCACACAAGAAAAGTAAACAGACTCCTGGCTCACATACTTAGTAACAGATCTAACCGCCTGGTGACAGGACATTACAGCTTCTAAGGCGCCAATAATCAAACTAGCTCACATGAGCAGCATATTTGGGCATATCAAAAAAAAGAAAACAATAAGCTAGGACACAGTGAGCAAACATAAAATAAATATAATAACTTACTGATGGCTTGGAGACAACAGTCAATATCAAATCACATAAAGAGGCAGACCATGATGGCTTCAGCAAG